AATTCAAAACACAAATTCTAGCCCACCATACAAGTACAAAACAACAGCAACAACAACCATCTCAATCAGCAACCAAATGTCACAACAGCACAAAAGATGGAAGAATAGTACTAAATATTTGAGTATTCCTAATAAAAACTGTGATGAATCAAATAATTTGTAAATATTTATATTTTATAGGACTTAGTCATAAAAACAAAATATAAGTATTAAGAGACTGTTAAATAATAAATATTTAGATTGATTACTATCAACACAAATAGTGTGTTGATATTGAAAAGAATATAAGGAATTTGAAAATGATGGTAGTAATATATGTTCAATTCTTATTTTTTTAATACCACTTACAGGTTCCTTAGAAAACTACTACTGAGTCACAGAAGAATAGTGTAATTTATAGATTTTTAATTGAGAACAGCATTTTCACATTAAACATTTTTAAAACTTATCACTAGCTAATCGAAGGACAGCATTTATCATATTAATTCATATATTTTTATTGATAGGCATGATTTTACATTGGAAAAAATGAAATAGGTTTTTCCTTTATGTTATGACTTCTGCTTTTATCACAAACTCAGCATCATGATGACAGCCAATAATAGTAGAGCATCATCTTCACTTCATCAGGAATAGCAGTGTCTCCAGGTCCTGGTGATTGTCTTCCTGAGACACACGTAGCATCAGTATACATGTAGAAGAGACTGGGACATTTTTCTCAAACTTATAACAGTCATAAGGTTACCAGCAGGCCAAATTTTACCTGAAAACCTTAATTTTTCTAAAAGATAAAAAAACAAAAATAGTTATCACTTATTAAATATTGTCACATGTCATATACTTATTTGACAGAAAACTTTATTTAATATTATTTTGTAGGCCATGGAAGTAAAACTTTGACACGTTTAAGATATTGAGACTTTTATGGGAATTATCGAGTAAAGGATTGTTTAAATTTATTTATAACCTCAGAAATATGAAAATATACAATATTAGTATTTAAATTATAATGATAATCTTTTTTATGTTTCAGAGAGTATCACAAGGAAGCTGAGACTCACTTTACACTCATTGTGAACATAAAAGCTTTGCCCTGATACAAACCTGCTGCCTCTACTGCCTTAGGCTAGAATTCAGATATGAACTATATTGCTTGGCTTGCAAATGTTTCTTTACTAAGAATTTCATTTTTATTTATTTTATTTTATTCCTGAAAAAATACATGAATCACCTATATTATTGAGTTTCAATGTGCCACTTCTATACGTGTATACATGACAGAATGATCAAATTGACTCTTCCATTATTCAGTCTTTATGGGGTCAAACATGTTTTCATCATATAGTAAATACTTTTCTACATTAAAACTACATTTTTAACTTATATTAGTGATATAAATATATATTTTTGTTTTCCTTTACATGGTTTCAGTTTCATCTAGGCTCTTCTACTGTTCAACTTTCATTCTTTTCTAAATAAATAATAGTTCTCCATTGTGTAAAAGAACTGCACTTTGTCCATTTCTGAGACTGAGACGACTGACTCCTTATCTTACGTACTATGAACTATGCTTATTTGCTATTAATATATTTATATTATATTCCATATTCAGTATGCATAATATAAATATACCAACATCATTTAAAAAAACAAATTAACAAATATTAATATATGTGCATTTTATATAGTTGCATTCGTAATAAAAGACTTGCAGCTCATTCTTTTCAATAAATATGCATATGACTGAGGAAGAATCAAATACAACTAAATGAATTTCTTTTTAAGCATACCAAAGCAAGCTCTTGCAGATATAATGACTTTGTTAGCAGGGATGATTATTCTTATTAGCTTTAGATTTAATTGTGATTATGAACAGAAGACACTAAGCTATTGGGTTCTTGTAAAAACAGCATGTATAGTTTAGAATTACAGTAGTAAACAGAGGAGATATTTCCAAACAGAGAGAGTTCTTGTACACATACATGGTTTTGGTTTTGATAACAGGGGTCTTGCATAAAAAACTGGAGGCAACAGTCTTTGTTGTTTCTTTTTCCAAACCTGTTAAGCAGCACTGAATCAAGTATCACTGTGTTCTATTTTATAAGAATCTTTTTTCTAGAAATGTAATCAGTATAGTAGAATAGGAAAATCTTCTACCTAATTCTATATGTCTAGATATTTCATTAGTTCATATCTCTTCATTCAAATATTTAGATGCTTTCTAGAATTCTTGAACCTGTACACTAACAGTAGTCTATGTACTAACCATGTCATTGTGATCTTTCATAGTCTTTTGTCTCTCTTACTATTTCTAGTGTCCCATTTTCTGACCTAATGATGCTAATAGGTGAATAATTCAATATTCTGCTTGCTTTATTGCATCAGTATTCCAGCTCATCAGTCCTATTATTACCAAACTGCTATTGTTTTACAAATATTTGTTTATTAAAATTATTGATAAATCTGGGTAGTTCATAAATTAGCAATTTCTGTTAATGTTTAAACACATATTTTATACTATTTTAGCTTTATAGTTTCATTGCACCAAGTTGATATGAAAAATTTAAATTAGGTAGTTAAAGTAGAATTTTGGTTCAGTGTCACATTTTTCCCTCTCAAATAATGAAAATTAAAGGCCAACTTCAAAAAATATCAATTTCTTAGTAATATTAACCAAATTTATGTTAGGCCTTGCCTTGATTGCAACATCTCTTTCAGCACCAACCTTGGATATTGCTTTAAATTTCCTGGTGCTCTTTTTCACTTCAAATTGCATTTTGAATTTATGTGACACTTTTACATTTTCAGTATAAATAATGAATGATTAAGAATGGATGGATAAGTTAAATTACTAGTAACCACATAACAGAGTCAATTTGAAGGTGTCTTGAAATTTCCTCTGTCAAAAAAATTAGTTTTTAAAGATTATATCTGTCCTACATTCTAGACTTGAGTAAGCTTCAACTCTATTTTAAATAGTCTTCTTCTAGGACCTCTGCAAAATTTCATGCTAAAGTATAAGGCAATGCCAACAATACCATCATGCTTAAAGCAAATAGTGGAACAACTGCAAGCACCTATTTCAAGGCTAGTTATGTATACATTATTCATTTACTAGAATTCTATTGCATGACATAAAAATGATATATTAGAGAGAGTTTTTTAGAAATATGTACATAGGTACTTAATTAAAAAGATATTTCAACTCACCTTGATGAAGTTTGTTTATAATGCTTATTGGGCTACTCATTTATATAATACCAAATTTAAAATATAAATTTAAGAAAAAATATAATTTTAGCACTCACTTATGGAAAAGTGGGAGATCCTATAAAGGAGAAAGGTACAGAGCTACTTTTTTTCTTGTATATGTTCTTATATAAAGATGTTTAGCTATATAATATTTATCCTTTGCATAAGACATAAGTGTTACAGACATTTAAAAGGAATTTAAATTTCTAGTTTTTAATAGTTTTTTAATATTTTTAAATCATGTCTAAAATATCTTTTAAAATAAAAATAAAAACAATTGAAATAAAAATCAAAGGAAAAAGGGAGAAAGGGGGAAAATAAATGCATGTGTGAAAATCGAAATGAATTAAGACATCACATTCTTCTCATTAGTGGCAGAGAAGACAATTTAATACTTGAAAGGTTTTCCTTAAGAGAGATCTTCCATGAAACAAACATGTTTAATTGGAGTTACCAGGATCAATGAAAACAGAGGTAACAGTTGTACCTTGACACAACCAAGATTACAAGGATAACGTGAAATTTCTTAGCTGTATAACAGTGAAACGGTACAGTAGTAAGCCATTATGCCATGCTGTGTTATTCTGAAGCAATGAAATGGGAAGTTGGTGCAAGGAAAAACTAAGAGTATCATTGGATGCAATGTATCTCTGTTTTGAACTCTACCACAGCACTCTTGAAAGGTTTGGAATGATATACATTAAAATAAATGTTGATTAGAAGTCACTTTTTTTTACTACTTTTCTAGACTGATGCAAAGAATTGGGGTCAAGCTTCAGGCTGTTCTAGGAGAAAAGGTTTAAAGAATTTTATAAGATGCCCTCTGGAATACCTCTTCTTCATTTCGAAAGTCACAGGAAAGTTGGGAACAATATATTAGTTTAATGTTTGAAATAAGAATAAAACTATAACATTTTTTCTTTGCCTTTCCTTCCTCTCAAAACTCCCATGAAACTTTCCCTACTAATATTGTTGTTGTATGCATATATGTATATACATACAGATTCCTAAATACAACTTATTTTGTCTGTATAATGTTACGTGTATGTACATTTTCTGGCCTGACTGTTTACTATTGGACCACTAATTGGTTTGTTTTTCCCTGTGAAAGGATATCTCTCCTTCCAGCTTTCCTCATTTGCTCACAGTCTTTGAACAGGATTAGGACCACATGGGTTTTTCATTACCCAATTTGGCATGTCCATTGGTGTCATTCTTGTTCAGATCACATTTGGGCAGTCATACTTGTCAGACTTTATGGAACAACTTCTGATATTATGAGGCCACTCAATCTTAAACTCCTAATCCTCTGGCTTTTAGAAATCTTTGTAACTTCTTTTCTGCAATATTCCCAAGCCTTACATTTGGAAGTGTATTCTAGATATATCTATAGGGATTGGACTTCAAATTCTGCCTTTTGATTAATTTGTTTTACTATAGTTGTCCCTGTTGTTTGAATGTTGTAAATGTGTGATTGGTGAAACTGTGATAGAAAAGATGTTCGATAGTCTCACATGCTTGTGAGGGTTGAACTAGACAAAATTTGAGCAAAAGTATAAACTTCAGATAAATTTTTCTTCATTTTGGCGTGGTGTCACATGTCTATATATAGTACCAGTATGTGGGAATCTGTGTGAGTTCAAATTCAGCCTGTTCTAAAAAGCAAGATCTGGAACAACCAGAGAAACACAGTGAAAATATGTCTTGAATCTCCTTGCCCATTAATATATTAGTTTTTCTTCAGTGGCAATGTATGTTCATGGTTCTGTATGATTGCTTATGATGGTACTCATATATATGCATGCAAAAATGTGAAATTAAAGTTTAAAAGTAGTTTAGGGATATCCTTAAACTGAATGTAATTTCTCAAAATACAAATAGAATTAAAAATAAAAAGGCATTAGTTATCCATACAAATGATGGCAAAAACACACCATTACTTATGATTTGTTTTTAGAAAACATGGTATGTTTGTTTTGTTGTTCTTTTGAGAACCTTATGAGACTATTTGAAAGCTAACTCTGCCTTTTGCTGGACTACCTTATTATGTGTTTGTGAAAGGTAGACATCTACCTTGGGTAGGTTATGGGTTTAAGTTACAAAATTTACTTTTGCTATAAAATTAATAATTTTTTATTCACTTGATATGGATATGCAAATGGGCATGGATGCTCAAACCAAGTCCAAATGAACCCAGGATTGTTGTCTGTGATTCAACGCTCTTTATTTCCTTGAAGGTTGGTTAGTTGCTGTTATCTGAAGGACAACCACAGATAGTGAATTGTATTTGCTTAGGTGGTAAAATTGTGACATTTCTTCTTATCTTTTCAATCAATTGTCTGTAAGCCAGTAGCTTATTCCCTTTTTAATAACAAAATAATTTCTCCTTTCTGATTTTTGTGGGGTTGTTTGATTTTGCTTTGTGGGAAATTATATTTTCCAAGACTACCATAGTGTGTTTTCTGCAGTTATCTTAAAAAACACACAAAAAATCAATTTCTAATTTTCCCACATTGCAAACATTGTGAATCAGACAGAATGTAGCTATTACTTGTTTCTTTAAGTTTCACAGTGTTGGTGTAGGAAGGGTCATTAAAAATCTGTGTCTTTTATTTTACTCCATTTTGTACAAATTCACAGTCAATAAAATTCTTGATTGTCTTTTCAAAACCACATCATGTAACATTTTGAAAATCATTACTTATATTTATAAATCAGAAACTCTTGAACATACATCTTCCCCAATGTCTGCGGTAGTTAAAAAAAAAAAAGAGGATACCAGAGCTGACATGCTTCAGTTCTGTTCTCACATTTATTTAGCATGATCAGAGCCACTCAGAAGCTATTTATAGTTCCACATTGTTTAACTACACTTAGACAGCTGTGGGATTGCAAGCAAGTTTATCCTTTGGAGTATGAGCTACATCCCAGCTCTTGTCGTTGAGAATGTTCACGAAGAGAACATTTGAAGAAAAGGCATGAAATTTGGAAAACAGATGAGCGGGGATGACAGTGGATCTTTTCTGTTCAGCTTTATTTAGAGAACGGCTGTACTAAAATGATCAGTGAATGTTAAAAAGCATGACTAGTTGATCAAATTTAATATGAATGTATTTCAGTTACTTATATGAAGAAAAATTCATGGCAGTTATCAAATTGTAAATAGTAAGATTTAAAGATACTGGAGTATCCCTTGTGCAAATTTCCTTAAATTATTTTAAAAGTTTTACTGCATTTCTAATTCCCTTAATGCTTCTGTTCTAGAAATTACAAATCTCAGTATGGTAAAAAAAATAATTACATATTTCTCCTATAAGTTGTAAAATGAATCCTACAAAAGAGTAAGAATAAAATGGGATGCACCAATGAATTATGCCAAATTATGACTTTAAATTTCACAGATATTTAAATGTATAATTAAATATAGAACAATTGTAGATTTATGAGTCCAGCATAGTAATGAGTTCACTAATATCGTTTTACAATATAATCATATGACTTGAAAAACTTTAATCAGAACCATTGCACTTAAAATATCATAAAAATCATTAGCTTATAAAAAGTTACCTAAACTGCATTAACACATGGCATCAGTTTTATGAGCTATGTGAAAAAATAGCACACATTTCTTGTTCATTTATTGAGACAATGTTTCTCTGTGTAGCTCTTACTGTTTTGGAACTCACTCTGTAGTCTGGTCTTGAAATCAAAGAGAACTACCTGCCTCTGTCTCATGAGTCCTGGTGTTAAATATGTGCACCACCACTGCCCGGCCTCTTATTTCTTCTTAATAAGATACTTTCTCTCAAAAATGTAAAAAATACTAATTTATTTAAGAATACCTTTGCCGCGCCAGCACGGTAACTGTCGTTCTTCTGAGCGAGGGACGTCGGGATTAACACGCAACACAACTTCAAGTTCTGCAGACAAGTTTTTATTCCACTTTCTCACACAGTATATATCGCCCTCAGCAGGGGAGGCCAAGACAGCAAAAGCAGGAAGCTCATCACCGTAACTCAATGGCTTAGGGGTAAACATCCTTAGAAACATTGCTGAAAACAACAGATTGTTCCTGTTTTTGTTCCTGTTTTCAACCAACTGCCAAGAGTTGAAAACAGATCAAGTGTGGGTGCAAAGGCCTGTCCTCTAGGGACCCAACAACCTTTATAATAAAACAATTCTCCATCAAGCTATAATGAAAACTCAGTAAATTGATTTACTTCTAACATTTTCTTTTTTCACCAACCACCTGTGCCTGAAAGACATCATTGGTAATAGAATAAAATCTTAGATTGCTGGTACTAATTTCCTATGATAGTTAACTTTTAATGCTGCAAAACAAAATATCTGAAATGAAATAATTTAAAAAGAGAAAAAAAATTATTTGGGTTTAGGATTTCACAGGTTTCCGAGCAAGCCTCTACGGATACATGGCTGTGGAACTGAGGTAAGACCAGTGAGAGAAAGAGACTAGACAAAGAGAGACAGGGAAAGACAGACAGAAATGCAGAACACAATACAGTGAGAAAGAGAGACACATAACATATTCCTACACATATTTCCTAGTTTTATCCAGTATTTAAGCCCTTATTCCAGTTTATGTTGAATTTTCTCACAGGTGAGAGACAGAGTTTTCATTTTTCTCTTGGGCATAGTTATATCCAATTTCCTCACCAATTATAATAGAAAAATGTTCCACATAGTGTGTTTTTAACATATTTATCAAAAAATATTTTAAGACCTGGTGACACACAAGTGTCTGTAATATTAGCTCCAGGAACTCGATGTCTTTGACCCCTATGGATATCTACAATCACATGCACAAGCCTAAACACAGACCTATGCTTATATAGAATTAACAATAATAAAATGTGTCTCTTTAAAATCAGTTTGATGTGGGTAGAGTAGTTTATTTCTAGGTATTCTGTTTTCTTCCACAGATCTCTGTGTAAAGTCTTATGCCAATATTTTATCATTTTTAATTTAATTATTATTTATTTGAATATATATATATATATATATATATATATATATATATATATCCATTATAGTTGGGGACTTCTGAACATAAATCATCTTCCTGTATGAATGCCAGAGTGTGGCCATGGACCATCTTGCTATCATCCTCTCTGAGTGCTAGAATCATAATCACACCCATGCTATATTCCTTTTACTGAATACTTAACTTTTGTCAT